TTTTCCCGCACGGGCACTCAAGATCTAGGTTAACCAAGCCTTTCTGTCACTTGCAAAAACCAGGGCGGATACCCTTGTAAGGGTATTCGCGCCGACAGCTTACTGGACCATATTAAGCGACGTCCCCGTCGCGTCGCCAGATCAAAAAGCTATCGATTTCTATCACATTCCAAGTGCTGACGAGATTAGAACCAATCCGATTAGCCGACAGACTTCAGGGGTGAGGCCTCCATCAGACTGAGTCAACACAACTATATGCTGTGAGGGTTTCAACCTGGGTCTCCATTGCCCTGACACCAGGACGCCGGTGTATTACGCATCAATACTACAGCATAAGTTCCAAAGGCCCCCAAACCATCCTCTTCCCCTTCGTCCTAGACAACTGCCGGTCTCTCGTTAGGTGTCCCAGTTAGCCTCTTCCTCAAGCAGAGCCATAACTAGAGACGCGGGCTTCGAATGGGGCCTATGAAGGCACTCTCTGCCTTCTTAAACAAATTCCTCACAGTCAAACAAACACACATGTATACGCTTATAGCCTCTCTCGGGCTTTTCTCCAGTCTAGTACAGAAATGTCAGGTCCCCATCTGGGCCCACCGTAGCCTGGTTGATCGGGCCAGGTCTACGACCCACCGCATTGTTACCTTAGCGACAGTATCCTCCCATTGGTTATACAATGGTAGGTATGTCCCTGATAATCAATCAATCAGGGTTTCCAAAAGACTCGACTCTTATCCTGCAAGGTAATTTCCCTTGGGCGGGCAACTCCCCTTAAACTCTTACCCTGCGTGGCCGCAGCCAGGTTGTGCCGGCTAGCAGCTATCCACTAGGGGTTGTGCCCAGGTGACACTAAACTTTACCGTTAGCTTGGTATTCTTTTAAATATGTCTCAGAATTAGCACAGTTGGCCAGACGGGGCATCACAAACAATTCATAGGCCGCTGCGGGACTACGCAAGGCTTGAAGGCATTTACGGGCTCTCCCGTAATAAGCACGACATCCTTCGCTCAATCACAAACACCCCCTCTGCCGGATCCATAAGGCCGCGACCCCTGACCTGATCAGAGCCAGCAGTCGCCCATCCTGAGGCATCTCTCGCCCTTTTTCAAACATTTCAAGCAAACATGGTTCCCTCTCGTCAGACTTTATCATCACAGACAATGCTTCCCACACCATTCAATTTCTACTCACCCTTACTTGGTGAAGGGTGCCTTTCGCACAAAATTTCCTAGCCATCCCTTTCTTGTATGGGATGACTCCTCACACAACCTCTTCCAAAACCATGAACGGGTCTTCGCACAATGTAATTCCCACCTCCCAGAATCGTGAAGGGGGTCTAAATCATCAAACAACTCAAACTGAGGGGCCACCTTCGGGGTCCCTATACAACTTATGCAACGGTGTTTAGGACGGTCAAGCATGCAAATTCCTGAATCCATAAATCCCGTAGGATTCTCACAGTTTTTTCACAAATAGGCTGCATTTCCCCTCCTTATACTCTGACCTCTCGTCTGCTTGCGGCAGACCGGACGAGTATACCGGAGGGTAGACAACTTTACAATTCACATAATCATGTCCATGAGATGTATCATGTACATCTCTCACACAAAGCCAAACATTCATCGAGATAAACCCACACATGTGAGAGCGATAGTGATCGTCACAAGACAAGTCCCATAGGACCTCAATTCATAATACACTCAAGGAGTAGAATGCCTCCTCCAACAATCGAATACAGCCACTCAACTCAATACTCTGTCTGTCTGAGTAGGACTCATAACCCCACTGTACACTCATCAAATCCACTCGGGAACATAACACCCGCCTAATCATCCACAGAATGGCCAGCCCCTGTCCTCTCCTGTTAGGAAACTCACATCCCGAGTGCTATAAACTCCCAAATCCCATTTGCCTCACAAAACCAAATGTAACTAAATAGTCTCATATATCACACAACTGAGTTCTACCCTCATGTTGTAGCCTATGAGGAAACTCAAGGGGAGACAAACGAACAAAAATCACACGCATATGGACACTCGGATAAAAACTCATCCCACCACTCCTACGTACACACACATCTAGGGCCCACTCAACTGACTCCAGGTATGTACACCCCTAACCCCGCCCTGTGTGTGCCAAGGATCTCTAGTCCTATCAATATACAGGCAGACCACCCCTACTTACATAACTCCTCCTGGTTCTGCCTATATAACTGAGCCTTGCCCCCATCAGGAGCTCGCTCCACTATTCTGCCCTGTCTCTCATAGAATTTGTCGTCGACCTCCGCGACTCGCCCCTCGGCATTATCCTCAAGGAGCTCTGGACAGTCCGCGGCTCTATGTCCTCCCTCCGTGCACAAAAAACAGGAGGTATCATGTCACCTAGCAATCTTTTTCTTCTTCCCTTGCGAACTGGATGCCGAAGGCGCTCTTATGGTCCCAGTAGTCACCTCATGACACGAGGGCAACCCCACATGGCCCTGAGGTCAAGGCTCCATAGCCTCAACACCCTCACCCCCTCATGCAACCGCACTCCCTCGCCCGCGCTCTGGCGCGTCCAACTCCCGGGGCCCCTCCTGTGGAATGCCTATCCCCATGGCTGTCGCCAACTCATGCAAGCGCGAACCCCTCCTCTCCGTGGACATGGCCATAAGCAACTCCTGCGCGCCACTCTCCTCCTCGACTGCGCCCAAGGGCGCCTCCTTCATCGGCTCGGCCTGACGAGGGACCTCCACTGCTACTCCCTAACTCGACGACGCCTGCATCCCACGGCCCTGGATATCGGCATCGGCTGGCCCTGTCCTGCTAGCCTTCCAGGCTACTGAGAGCCTATCCATAGCGGCTGCCATCTCCCCAAATCTCCTCTCCCACTCAACCTCTCTGGCCTGGCCCCTCACCCTCTCCTCGGCAAGCTGAGTAGTCAGGTGCTCTACCTCCAGCTCCTTAACTCTGAGCTTATTGCTGAGTAGATTGTACCATTGGAAAGATGTGACTGCCGTCTCGCATACCCTCCGATCCATGCGCTCAATCGCCATCCTGGTCGCAGAGAATCCCACGTCTCCCATCTCCCTCAACTTACTTGTCTCCTCGCCTGTCGGTCCTACCTCTCGTGACCTTTGGCGGGCCGCATCCCTCTGACTCTCATACCTAGCCCACAACTCGTCAATCCTCTGCTCGCTTGTCTTGGGCTCGACGGTGGTGTCGGCTCTATCCCTGCCTCCTCCATCTCATCTTGCTTCGCATGTATCTCGTCCAGACGAACTCGTACTCGGGCGGACTTCTCCTCGCGGGTCTCCCTTGGGGTCCCTCTCACTTGCGGCCCCTGGCCCTCTGGAGCCATCGCCTCGGCCCTCCTCCCTTCGCTTGCGCATGGCACTACTGGCGGTAACTCCGCTGGAACGGGCTCCTCGATAACCGGACTCCTGGTCACGTGCGTGGATGATGGCAAGTCAGGGGGCGCCTCCACCTTCGCTCTCTCACACACTCCCTGATCCTCCGCCTCTGCCTCCTGCTCAGGCATGAGGGTGGCCGCGGGCGGGGACTCCGGAATCTCCTCACTGCCTGGCTTAGGAATCCCCTCTGGCCATGAACGCTGTGCTAGCTCTGGAGCTGGGGAGTATGGAGGGGTATCATCCCCGACCGTGATCACCTCTCCAACCTGAGGTCGTTCTGGATCCGGCCGCTCGGCTGCCATCTCAGGGTCCTGCGGCTCCTCTTGGCCTCGCATGTCTGTCTCCATCTCGGGGTCGAGGGGCTCCTCCAATGGTACGTAGCACGCTGGCTCAACTGAGTCCTCTCCCAGCCGCGAGGCCTCCCATTGGGATACATCGAGATGAGTCGCTAAGCTTCGGAAGGGCGTCTCTCTTGGTATGTCTAACTCCTGCGTTGATGGCAGTGGCGAGGGCGGCCTCAACTCCTCACTTGTAATCCGCCGAAACTCAACCGCCCGGAGGCCACAAGCAGGGAACGACTCTTCTGCCAATGCGGGCCCTGCGGGCTCATCCTCCTGCTGGGCTGGGGCTCCCCTCCTCTCTCTGGCCAGCCCCGCCTCTCTCGGTGCCGGTTCTCTTTACCTCTTGCTTCGCCGTCGTCTCTCAACCCAAGGCTCGTGCCTCTCGTGTTGTGGCCGTCCGAACGCCCTCCTGAGCTGGGCCTGACAGTCCTCCCAGTCTCGAGCCCTCTCCTGAATCTGCTTGACCGTCTGCTTCTCTGCCCGCCTCGTCCAGATAAGTAGGGCCTGCACCCATTCCCCCTGCGCAACCCCCAGACTCAACATGTAGTGCTCATATGCGGGGATGAACTCATCTGCGTTCCCCTCCTCCAATCGAATGGGCATGCCATCACGCCCCCTAGGGGAAACTCTCAACCTTTGCATCCTGGCCTCCACGTCAGGCCACGTCAGGGCCTCCTCGCATATCTGAGCGACAGGCTCCTCGAACCGCCCTATACCCCTCAAGTGGTGAATTCTCTCCGCCACTGACCATCTTCTCTGTGCTGCATGGTCCCGATATACGTCCAAGAAGAGCTCAATGTTGTCATCATCGAACTCAGGCGTAGGTTCCCTCCTAGGCGGCTCATGCTGCTTGCCCCTTTTCTCCATCCTTTGGGGCCCCTGGCGTGGCCGTGTGTCCCTCCCGCCCCTCTGCATGACTGCCTTCGAAAAGTCAGACCTGCACAACAGGCGCGAGACAACAAACAGGCACACAACAGGGTCAGCGGTTGGGCTATTGGCCTAGGGAAATCCCACATACTCTCCACACCAATACACCCCAATCATCCACCTATCCCAACACCCGACTTGGGTAACATCTAGGAAAGACTCTATTCCTAACGAGGTTTCATGACCCCTTACCTATTCCCTGGCCACGAACTTCTTCAGCCTTGTCCCTGATACCCAGTCCTGCCATCCTGCCCCGTCCAACTCCTCAATTTGGTAGGCCCCAAATTCGCCACAACGCACGATTCTATAGGGTCCCAGCCACCGCTTGTCAAGCTTCCTAGACCATTGCTTTTTCAGCGAGGAGTCATACAGCAACACCACATCTCCAACCTTCACGGGATCCTTCCTTATTCGGGCCATCTGGTCTCACCTCATCTTATCTTCCATACGACTTCTCTCCACCTAACCAGCGGCCTCTCGTAGCCTTTCTTCAGCGGCCCCCACTTGTCGCGCCCGTATATCGAGCAGTTCTTCAAAGGGTAGGTTCACTTCCAGGTCCTGGCGCTTCCACGTCTTCATAAAACTTTCTATGGGGAAGGTGGCATGCCTCCCGTACAATAGAGTGACTGGCGCATACTTGGTAGTCCTTTTCACTGTAACATTTTCCATGAAGAAAGTTGCTCTCAGGAACTTCGGCCATTGGTTAGGCTTCCCCTCCGTCCATTTAGCCAGGAGATTCATGATGGTCATGTGCCCCCTCTCCACAGGTGCGTTCGCCTGGGGGTGCGCGACAGTAGTATAGTTTGCTACCACGCCGTACCCCGCGAGCAAAGTCCGCACCTGGTTACATGTGAACCCCGACCCCCGATCCATCACAAATTCTCTGACAAATGGATAGCGCAGATAGTATTCTTCGATGAACCTTGCTAAAACTGACCCAGTTTTCGTACGAATAGCCCGACCGTCCACAAACCCGGTAAGGTTGTCCCGTGCGTCAAATATATAATTACTTCCATCCTCCCCGAGTGGCATGAACTACAGGTCCAGGTGTACGACTGCACCCACTTCCCTTTCCAGTCTGGGGTGCAGAGGCTCCCCCGGCCTTTGCGCCAACCTCTGTTGGCAAAGTACACAGGACTGGCAGTACTTGATGACCGTAGTCAGCGTCCCATCCCAATGGTATAACTCGCTTATTTTCGCACACATGGCACTAACCCCTCTGTGCCCCCCTGCTATACCATCGTGTAAGGCTGCTATGACATCGATCTGCCGATTTCTCCCACATCCAATCCTCTTGGGGTTCCCAACCTGTCGCTTTATAAACAAATGGCCATCTCTTACCACATAGAGATGCCTCATCTTCTGGGCTTTGGCACTTGCGTCCCTGTCCCTCATTTCGCACGACAGGAGTAACCCCAACTCCCGATAAATTCCATCGTACTCCTCAGCACGGAAGACCTCCCTAATCTCTCTTTCTTCGAACTCGTCGTCCTGACTCTCAGGAATGAGAAGCTCGCCCTCCTCCGAGCTGGCTGTGCTCCTCTGGTCAAAGTTCCCCTGCAGGAGCGTGTTGGTGAGCAAGTACATTCCTCCCATTAGTTGCTCATGCTCCTCTACCTTGGTTGGGCCTTCCTCTATCGTCCTCACCTCCTCCACTAGACTATGTGTCTCTGCCAATGCCAACTTCATCATCCAACCAACATCCCTACTCCCCCACGGATCTTCTTCCTGGAAGGGCTTGAGGACCAACTCCTCCTTCTGCTCGTACCCCCTTGGTGCTAGCCATATAGGATGTATGACGCAGCTAGGCACCCTTAGCGACCACTCATTTATGTGGAGGCGGACATCCTCCTCCTGATCCAAGAACCCGTCAACTGGTGGGGTATCTTCAATTGACTCTTGACACGCCCCATCCCAGTTGATACGGCTCAGCCCATCTGCCCTGTTCTTGTCCCTGGGAATCCTCTCCAACTCAAAGTTAAACATCCAAATGTAAGTCAACCACCTCGCGATGGTTGGATCAGATGGAGTATAACTTTTCAGGGAACATGCCAGCGCGGTGGAGTCCACCCTCAAAATGAGCCTCCTACCAAAAATGTAGTTCCAGAAGGTCCTTAGGTAGTGGAGTACCGCCAACGTCTCCTTCTTAAACTGGGAGTAATTCCTTTCAGTCGTATTGAGGGTGCGACTTTCAAACCCCAGCGGCCTCTCCTTCCCATCAGCATCCGCCTGAATCAGGACTCCTCCTAAGGCAGTTGGCCCAGCGTCCGTCTCGACAACGAATGGCTTCTCCTTCGTGACCTCGTAGTTCGGCGCTCCCAGCACCAAGCCTCCTTCCCCGAACTCTCCCTTTATTCTTTCCACAGCCTTCTCCTGGTCCTCGCCCCAGACCCATTCCTGATCCTGACACACCAACTTTCTTAAATGCTCAGTCTTGGTGGCGAAATCCTTCACAAAATTCCTCCAAAACCCGCAGGTCCCAAGGAAGCTCCTCACGTCCGTTATCGACTGGAAGGGGACTGACCACTCTAGGATTTTGTCCGTCTTCTTCACATCTGGCCTCCGCCCCTTCTCGTTGCAGACAAATCCCATAATCGTGGCCTCCCTCATACAGTGCTTCGACTTGGGGCCGCTTGCCGTCAGGTTGTGTTCTTCTAGCAGACCCAAAACTTTATCGATATCCTGGACGTGCTTCTAGATGAACCGCCTCACTCCTGGCATCACTTCGTTTTCCTCCTTCTCCTTTGGACCCTTGACTGCCAAATCGTCAATGTAGGGCTGAGTAATATGTGGGCTAACCGTCTGCATGACCCTAATCATGTGCCTTTGCACCATCGCCACCGCATTAGTCCACCCCTGAGGCGTCACGTTCATGTGGATCAGCCCCCTTGGCGTATGCATCGCCGTCATTGGCCTATCCGGTGGGTACACAAGAAACTGGTCATACCCAGAGTAAAGGTCTATAAGTGAAATTATAGGCCTTCCTGCGCATGATTCTGACAGGGCGTCCTCGTTCGACAATCCTCCCGCGTCCCGCACCGTCACTGCATTCAGCCGTTGCAGATCCTGCACCCACCGCAGCGTTCCGTTCGGCTGGATAAAACAAAACCAAGGGGAAGCGTACGGTCCACTGGAGTAATCTGCCACATACGTCCTCATCTTCCCATCCAAGTAATCCACCACCTTCTTCTCCTCATTCGGATTCGGGTACCGCGCGCCCCTCAGCTTCCACGGCTCGTGTGGGACGGTATGGATTCGTATCATCGGGATCTTATCCACGTCCAACCTCCCACGCTCGTCATCATTAAACGCATACGCGCAATGCCTCCTCCTCATGGTCTCCACCATCAAGGTCCTCTCCTGGGGCGACAGGAAGCCAGACTCGCCAATTATCAACCCTTCCTCATTCTCATTATTGATGCGGCACGACCATGCCTGCGCGCGTTTCCGCATACGCCTTATCAACCCTCGCTCTCGCTCATAGTAGACTTCCTCAGCCTCCGTGACAAGCACGGGGACCGGGTGACACTTCTTGTCTATGGTCTTGTACCGACTTTGGGAGCCCTGCTTAAGCCAACCCCCTAAAAAAGGCCGACTTGTTGTTCGGGCCTGGGCCATCACAGGGTCCCCTCTCCTCCCGGGAAACCGATAGACCAGCTCCACTTCTCCCACCTGAGGGCTTTCCAGGACCTGCTCCCTCAACGCCTTGATAGCCTCAGGGTCCGCCATATCATGCGCCGCCAGCACCTCCATTGCCTTATTTACATCATTAAGGCTCAGTGATAATACCTCGCCCGCTCCTTCCTCCTCCTGCTCCTCCCGAAGTCTCCGTCGCGCATACTCAGACTCCTCGAAGGTAAAGGAACCGAAGTTGAGCCTGTTCCTCCCACTTCCGGGCCCTGTGTTCCGGCACTTGATGATTTCATAGTTCCCACAAGCCGGATCAGATAGCGCCAGGAGCATCGTCCCCTCATGCCTGTTGAAGACTAGGGTTTCCGTTCGGCAGAGGAACGACCTCCCCAGAAGGATGGGGTGGTCAACATCGCGCATGACAAAGAAACACGTTCGCGCCCTTACTCTCCCAATCTCCACCATCACATTAGACGCGGTGCTGCAGAAGATGGCCTTGCAGTTGGCGCCATGCAACACGCCATGGTCCGAATGGTCAACTTCCAATCCTAACATCGTCGCGTCCCGCTCCCGGATGATATTCATCTCCGCGCCCGTGTCCACCATTGCGATGCTCGGCTGGTCTCTCACCTTCAAGTCCACCAACCCACACGCCACACATTTCCAATCCATCCTGGTGCCTGCCTCTGTCCACTCTATCTCCCTAGGCAGAATCAAGCTCAGGTGGACATTGGGCACTAATCTTCGCGAGAGCCGCCCTTTTAGCTCACCACGGAGCCTTGATGCCGAGGCCAAAATGTCCTTTAGATTCATCAAATCGTTATGGCCTTCCAAGAGCTTGTCCACCATTCGCTTCACATCAAAGCCTTCCTCCAGCCGGACCGCGTACTTTTCCTCTTTGGCACGCCATCATGCAGACTCGGCTCCGCCCCTCCCTGAGCCCCTCTCTTCTTGGCCCTCCGTTCCGCCCTCCGGTCCTCCTCCTGCCGGAGCCTCTCGTCCTCTTCGTCATCGCCCTCATCTTCCTCTTCTTGAACCTCTACCACTTCCTTCCTTCGTTCGGGCTCAGGGCCCTTTCGAGGGGGCACCCGACTGGGTGCCTGGCTAGGCCCTTGACAGGTGGTGGCCTTACTTTGGCCCCTAGTCTGTGCGGCCTGAGGTACCCTTCTATGCGACGTAGGGGGTCTGAAGGTCATCCCTGACCTAGGACCTGCCCCGGCCGTCGCCACGCTTGGAAATCCTTGTGGTTCTGACGACGATTCCGGACCGGATCCATAGAGCATCACCTCAGGATGGCTCATTTCCCATTCCCGGGCCTTTTCACACATTGTCCTTAGTCGTTTCTAATACCTGCCGACCTTTGCAAGCAGGTCCTCCATCCTCTCCAGGATGGTCGAGGCTGACTCTCTCACCACTTCATGCTCCTCATCGTCAGACTCAACAACTATGGGCTCCTCCTTTATAGTCCCCGCCTTCAACCGCTGAGTTACTTCCTCATTTTCATCCACAATCTCCTCGACTCTTATGCCGGGGTCTTGCCTTTCCTGCCATATCCTAAACATTGTTGGGGCTACTGGAGGCCCGACCGCTGCCCGCCTAAGGGCTTCCTGCTTGATTCCTCCCGGGGTCTTAGGGTCAATGTGCGTTCCCCACCGATCGTATATATCCCCGTCCATACAGGTGGAGATTAATCCTGCCTTTTCGTTGTCCCGCCGTTGTTGGCAGAATCGCACGGTGTGGCCCACCTCGCCACAATGCCAACAAGTTGCGTTCTGCAAGTTGAAGTGGGGTCTTCCGTACCCTTGGCCCCCTCCCTGGTTGCCTTGGCCACCTCCTCTACCTCCTTGACCCCGGCCCCCATTGCCCTGCCCGCCTTGTCCTTGGCCTCCTACCCCGGCCACACTAGCTTGCGAGGCCTGCTGGGAGGGCGGCGGTTGAGCCACGGACTGACTTTGAGTCGCCGGGTAGCTCGGGGGGCCCATACTTGCGGATGGGCCTGAATAGGGGACCATGTGCCCCGTGTGAGCCTGACTCCCCCCACACGAGACGCAATGGTTACAACTGGGCCAGGGCGTGGATTGGCAATGCGGCACCCAGTGTCCACAAGATGGCGGCGACCCCATGTGCGATGATCCGGCTGGCGCGGGCGCTGGGGCGGCCGTGACGACAGGTGGTGGTGCGGCAAGGGCTTGGGGAGCCTGCCCTTTCCCCGATCCCTGTCCCCCCAGTAGCAGATTACGCTGCTTCCTCTGGGCCTTAGTCAGGGCTTGGGAACCCGTCTCCCCTCCGCCTTAGTCTTCGCGCCCTGCCTCCTCATCTCCTACTCCTGACGCCCGACCTTGGGCCACTGCCACCACTCTTTTCTGTAGTTCGGCTTCGCTATCATACCCCAGTGCCGCCAACACGTCTGTGACTATTCTCTTCACCCCTGGGGTCCCGGATGTAGTAGCATCCCTCTCCTTTCTCTTGCGCCTTTGCAACCTCGTTTGGTGCAGCTCCACCTGGTCCAGGCTCCCTTCTTCTACTCCCTTGTCAATCGTTGCCCAGATGAGCCTCTCGCTTCCGCCCCCATACTTCGTCAACTCTGTGGCCTCCGAGCCTGTAAGCAGCCCCAAAAACATGGCACACTACGCCTCCTCTGAAATCCCGTGCACTTTCCTCGCCCTTTTCTTGAACTCGTGCACGAACGCCGCAATGGTAGAGAAGTCTTCCTTGTTCATGGCCTCCAAGTCGGCCATGGTTAACAGGCCGTCCCCCAGCCTATACTTTCTTCGCATTAGATCCCCAAACTTTGCCCAACTGCCACTGGCGGCGTCCACAACCTTAGTTACCTCTCGATGGTGGCTATGAAGGACATACCTCAGGACCCGTTGGAGCTTGACCTCATCTGACAGTCCCACCAGCGCCTGCTCCATCAGATCCAACCAATCAGATCCAACCAATCAGATACCCGATCCCCCTTGAAGTGGAAGGTCTCGACTTTTGGGACGTTGCTCGGCGCCCTCTCGCGCTTGTCCAGGGCATCGATGAGGTCATCGAGGGTCACAAGCTTCCTTCCACCGTCCGCCATCTCTTCTGGCATTTTGACCACCCGCCTTCGACTTCAATCTTCCTGTTATAAGAGACGATGGGACAGAGGACCTCACTCAGCGATTCAACCTTTCATGACCCTATCGGGTTGACCACCTTAGACACCCCACACTCTAGACCTGGCAGGCATTCCTTCTCCCATCCCCTTTGGGCTCATCTAGATAACGCTTTACCCTTACCATAGGACTTCCTCATCCACATACAGTACTCAGCTGTCAACCAGACCATCAATCAATCAGCCATCCTACCCATTGTCATATAGATTACCATACAGTCCGTCTCATAGTCCTTCTCTTTTCCCGCTCATATGCCTAGTTTTCCCTCACTCTCGTACCCGTATGTCGTTCCACCAGGAACAACGGTAGGCTTCCGTTATCCCCGGCAACGGCGCCACCTATCGAGCGCATCTGTCCGGCACCGCACGCGGCGGCGCGGGACCCTCTCGGCCGCGTCATGCAGGAGTTGGACCTACCTCGTCACGAACGCGCAGATGGAGCTTCCTTAGGCCGCTCCGGCCGAGTGCGCCAGCCATACCTCTCGCGAGCCCCTACGACAGGATAGGGCCTACGCGAGGCACAACTTACCTCCACCTTACAGGAGATGTCACCTTCCTTCGGTGGGCGTATCCCCGCCGAGCTACCAGTCCACAATACGAAAACTACTCGGTTGCAATCGCAGAGGTGGACCAGCCGAGGGCGTTTCTCGTTCGCTGTAGCATGGGGGGGTACGCGCGGTAATACGCCTATCGGACCCGCACGCAAACCGACATCTTGGGGGGGCTGAAGTCCCAAGCGTGGCTTGACGTCGGTCGACTAGGACGCATCCCACGCCCCACGCGCACACCACTTTACGAGACAAAAATAAAACACACACACACTCACGTACAACACGACGCAGCACAAACAACGCGACAAACGCTCCTAGTCCCTCGGTAGCCAACCCATAACTTCCTGACGCAGAAATCGGATAGGCGTCGTGCGCGAGACTTAGTATAAAACCGCGCGGACGCAGGGCTTACTCATATCGACTCGCAATAAAAGCGTACGCAAGCCGTCGCAATGATGGCGTACCAGGTAGTACCCATACTCACGCGATCCTCGTTAATCTCGAGGGTCGCGTTCGACACTTAAGTGTCGGCTGACACGCGCCTAGAGGGTTAATCTCTCGACGCCAGAGAACCGCCATGCGCGGTTGGAGACCACACACCCTCTTTTGCACCCTAATGCAGAGTGGGTGGTACACAGGCCCATGCCTGTGGTGGTAGTCGTCTCTCGCGGCCCTAGGGGTGAGTCTTCCCCGGGGCCTGGGCGAAAGTCAAGGGGTTTGACTTTGATGGCTGCCACGGACTACAACGTCCAACCATAAAAATCTCTAAGAAGCAACAAAACTCGCACGAACCCAAGAAGGGAGGATAGGGCAAAGGTCTCCTGGCCCTTAAAACAAAAACTCCTGGCCTTGGGACACACTTCCCCTCTATGGTCGGTGCCGGCGGTCTATAATAATCCCAAGCGCTGCGCCTACGCGCAAGCCCGACGGTCCCATAACCTTTAGACGCCTGGGCGGCGAGGCATCGCGCGTAGGGCTCTGATATAAAGCTACGCGGCCGCAGGCCAACCCTATGCCAACCACTGATGTCAATCATATGTGGTGACCGCGGCTTAGGCCTCGCGATATTGAATGGTTGAAGGAGCTCATCGCGAGGGATTACCCCTCACGATATTGAACGGCTGAAGGACACGCCGTTCGACCCTCGCGACGTTCCCACCTCTCAGGTGGAGTGTCCTGCTGGCCAAAGTAAATAGGCTCTATGCGAGGGGAGACCCTTCCTCTTCAGGGCCTAGGGCTTGGGATGTCCTGGATAAGGACCTCGAATCCCGGCCCAGGACCAACGTCCGACTAAGAAAGCCCCAAGACGCAAATAGGCAGAAAGGAGGGTCTTCCCTGTCCCTCAGCTCCAACTTCCACGTGGTTATTAATACGGCCCTTTGGGCCCCTCGAATACCCATCGTACGTATACCCACGCATGCACGAAAAAGAGATAGAGTTATGACGATCACTTCTCACAGGCACAGTGGGACTCCTCACAACCATGTATATGTATTATGGAATCGCAGGCAGTCAAAATCCAAAATCCGAGCCACAAGACATAGCTGCAACCACACCAAGAATCAAGCGACAAAACACGCACTACACAGAGTCAACCCCAACCATTCTCTATGCTCACACCCTTTCGCTTTAGCCATGCAAGCCCCAACTGCCAGTCCAACCAACCTCAATTAAATACTCGGTACCTTTGTTAAATGGCCATTCAATAAAAGTCCGGGTGAAACCCTTAACAAACANCATTCAATAAAAGTCCGGGTGAAACCCTTAACAAACAGTAAAAACCACCAGGGCTAAAGCCTTTTAGGTTGAGTATGGGGAAATGAGTTGAAATTGAGTCGAAGACCGACAAATCGGCAACCGACCTGTTATCAGAAGACGATCCTCAACGGATAAAGCTGAATCTAGGCCTGATCTTGAATCGAACGATCAAGACGACCTGTAATACATCACACGCTAATCCCCAAGCTGAGATCATGAGCGTATGGAGAATACAACTCCATAACATATTCTCACTTTAATCCTCCTAGCTAGCTAAGCCTGAATCTACCTCGAAGCGGTGCTCAAAGCAAAGGCAGACCCTGGTTAAATCTCCCCTATTCAGGGTGGATTGCCAAAATCGCCATCTATCAAAATATAATCTAACTCCTCTAATTTAGGAAAATTTTGGCGGCACTCCCCGT